ACTTAATGAGATCTATGTGAATTTCTAGTTATAGCACCCGACTAGTAACATGTGGCTTTGACCATCCTCTTAGCATGCTTCTTCATGGACAAATGTTCAACAGCTCAAGTAAAAAAATGTAATTTCCTTCATATCAATAATAACCTTACAGTTCTCACCCAGGGAGAAACAATATGATTAATGTCTCACTGAAAAGTGAAACCATTAAAACAATAAGGTTTTATCAAACAGAAAAAATATAGAAATCATCAGAATTATGTCGTTAAACTCGAATATTCCAAAATGCGAAGGCAAACGTTAAACAGAAATGTTAAAGCACGATCGAATAAGATTACAAAAAAGAAGAAATAAGTTGGATCTAACAATAAATCAGAAGAACCATCAAGATGAATCATTTAAAGTGAATGCAACTATCAAAATGGAGCATTTACAGTGAACAAACGATATTAAAAACGCAAAACAAAATTTCTACACAAACAAGTGGTAGATCAGAAGAGAAACCAGAAGCAGCAAGCCCGCAAAGCATAAATTCGTGAAATATCAAGATCATAAAATATTTGTAAAATTCAGGATTCACAGACTCAAAAGCTTAAACAGCTTCTATAAGCAAGAAAAAAAAAAGAGCAGATCCGTGCTTTGCATTTGAAAAAAAGGATCAAAACAGATCATATAGCCAAATCGCCGAACAATCCTAATACTAATATCAAAATATGAAAGGCGATTTAGTTACCATCCTTGATAATAGCCGAAAGAAAAGTCAAAAATGAAATTCTGGATTATCCGAGAGCTCAGACGCCGGTATCCCGATTCGGATTTTTGGTGCTGCTGCGGTGCCATTTTATATTTATATTTGAACAATTGGATAAACTACATCAAATACCACTGAACTTTTTCTGTCGACTCGTTTATATTACTGAACTTTCAATTTTTCCAATAATATCACTGAATTGTAATTTTACATTCAATTATGTCACCCCACTGTTAAGTCACTAATGGGATGATGACATAGCTAACGGTTGCTGACGTGACATGTCACACCAAAACAACGTTATTTTGGTATGATTGTCCTAATGCCTAAAATAATGTTGTTTTATAAATTAAATTTTAGGGGTGTATCGATTATACCACTAAATTTTTAAATAATTTTCTTTTTATCACTACATTTATTACCGTCGCCGGTAGCCAATCATCACCCGCCACCGATCATCTTTCGCAGCAAAATCGATAACAAAATATTCACATTTGACTCTTCATTCTTCTCATATAGTTAGTTTTTTCATGAAATTCACTCAAAATCAACAAAATTAAGCATTAAAAATCTACCATTTTTTTATGTTTGGAAACTTCATTATATTTACGGGATTTTGTGTATTTGTTAACATATATGAACGGTGAAAAGCATTATTTCTAGAAAATGAAAAACACACCTCAAAACTAACGTCATTGGTCGGTCATTGAAAGAGATCGGGGCATTACTATGTTAATATTTAAATGGATTTTCTTCAATTTTGAGTGGGTTTCATGGAAAACCAATCCTAAGAGAAGAAAGACGAGTGAAATACGAACATTTTGGTACCGATCTTGCCACGATATATGACCAATGAACTGCGATTCTTAGCTGTTGGCGACGACCTAAAAGTGTAGTGGTAAGAAAATGTTTAAAAGTTCAGTGGTAAAATCGATACACCGCGAAAGTTTAGAGTCTAATATGATGTCGTTTTAAGCATAAAAATAATCACACTAAAATGACGTCATTTTAGAATGGCATATCATGTCAGCAACTATTAGTCATGTCATCGTCTCGTTAGTGACTTAATGGCAAAGTGACATAATTGAATGTAAAACTAAAGTTTAGTACTATAATTAGTAAAACTAAAAGTTTAATGGTGTAAACTGTCAGCAGGAAAAGTTCAATGGTATGTGAGGTAGTTTACCTGAACAATTTTACTCCATTAACAAAATGGTAAATATAGATTTTAGTACCCAAACTTGACTTTAATGTTCAATTGATACATGAACTCTTATTATTGGAATACATATTTGAACTCGACTTCTTGATTAAAATCAGTTCTTGAAATTGTTTTCTTAGTTCAATTTAGAACTTATGCTGTTTTTCTTTTTGCTCAATTAGATGTCTGAATTTAACTTTTCAGTTTAAATTATTGAATTAATATCAAAACTTGACTTCATAGTTTAATTTGATAATTATATTTTCTGATTCAATTAATTATTAAATTTGAAATAAAATACTTATATTTTATAAAATTTTAAAATTATTTAAATTCATTTAATTCACTTGAACGAATTTTAATTCCAAATAATTCAGTTTGAATTAAGAAATCAAGATCATGTACCAATTTGAATCAATAAGAAAACTTAAGTACCTAATTGAAAAGAAAATTATAAGTGCCAAAATGAACTAAAATTTTCATTTCATGATATTTAATTGTACCAGTTTAAATAACAAATTAAACTTGAAACAAAATTCAAGTATCAAAATGTATATTTCCCGAAAAAAATGGAAGCCGATGATGTATGTTCAGGTTTTGAGCTGGCGTACGCATATAATGATCTTGCCCAATATGACGTTTTCTAGCTGTTGGTCAACGTGTAGGCAGACAGCAACGGTCACTTAAAACTCGTCACCTTAACATGACGAGTTCGATGTGCATTATAAAAAATATCAAATTCTCTCAAATAAATTATGGGTAAAACAATACCTCATATAATTGATCCGCTTGGGTATTGGCCCAAGAAAATCGATAAGTAAGGCCAGTAACTGTCCAATTAGGTCGGTCCACAGTCCGAAACTTTTATTTTCTTTCCCACTCATTGGATTTTTTACATCCATTTAAATTTCTATACTCTAATTTTTTTAATTAATTAATTTTTATCAACGTTGATAATTAAATATAATAATTTTTAATCATTTAACACAGTATGTTATATCATTATATTTCAAATATTTTTAAAAATTTATTGTTTTATTAATAATTTTTTCAGAAATAATTTTAGAATTTTAATATATATTTTAAAAAAAATTCTTTAAATAAACTATAAATTTAATTGAATGTATTTTTTTAAAAAAAAGCTTAATTATTTTTTCCAAAGTCTGGAAACTTCGTTGAACTTAAGCCTAGGTCTTCTTTATTTTTTTCTCTTTTTCCAATGGGAAATTCTTAGGTTATTTACCTCTTGGCTTTTGTCAATGTGAGAGACAGGGACTTGTTTCCAACAAGGTAGGATGGTCTATTACGGTTTCTTTACGTAACTGAAAATTTCCAACGACAGTATAAATACAATCGATTTCTCTCATTAGATCTATAATGTGTTACCAATATTCGAAAAAATAACAAAAATTAAAGTATATAATAGAAATATATAAATAATGATAATTAAATTATACTATAACATATGTAACCTAGAACCTTTGATAAATTTTCCAGCAAAGATTCTCATTTTTTTTTTTATTGAATCTGTAAATTTTTCGAATAAAATAAAAATAAAATATCTAATTTATGTAGGTAGGGTGGACCCTTAATGATGAATGAATTTATGCGAAACATGAGAGGAGTGGTCCCTTTCGTTGTAGTATATAATGGCCTAACAACTTAGTCCATTATATGTTCATATGTGTTCATATGGGTTTTTTTTGGCCCTATACCCCAAGCGGATCAATTGTTTGGGGTATTGGGTCTACTCAAAATTTATTTTGGAGAATACGATACTTTTACGGTGTACATCGAACTCGTCATGTCAAGGTGATGAGTTCCCTCGAATATTATTTTCAATTGGTCCTTACGTAGTAGATACCACATGAGTCATTATTTTATTAGCATTATAATGACTCGTCACGCCGAGATGACAATCCATTTAAAAATATTTAAAAAAAATAAAAAAAAATATATATATATATTTTAAAAAATACGAATTCGTCACTTCAATGTGATGAGTTTATTTAAATTCAAAAATAATAAACGCTTTCTAGCAGTTGGTTAATGTGTAGACGGACAACAACATACACTTGAAACTCGTCACTTTAACGTGACGAGTTCGTTGTACACTATAAAAAATGTTATATTCTCTAAAATAAATTCTCGATAAGACAATATCTCAAATAATTGATCCACTTGAGGTATTGACCCAAGAAACCGATAAGAAAGCCCAGTCACTGTCCAATTAGGTCGGTCCACGGTCCGAAACTTTTATTTGCTTTCCCACTCTTTGGATTTTTTACATCCATTTAAATTTCTATACTCTAATTTTTTATTAATTAATTTATTTTTATCAAAGTTGGTAATTAAATATAATAATTTTTAAACATTTACCACCGTATGCTATATCATAATATTTTCAAATATTTTTAGAAATATATTGATTTATTAATATTTTTTAATATTTTTCAGAATTAATTTTAGAATTTTAATATATATTTTTAAAAATTTTCTTTAAATAAACTATAAATTTAATTGAATGTATTTTTTTAAAAAAAGCTTAATTATTTTTTTCAAAGTCTGGAAACTTCGTTGACCTTAAGCCTAGGTCCTTTGTTTTTTGTTTTTTCCAATGGGGAATTCTTGAGTTATTTCCTCTTGCCTTTTGTCAAAGAGAGAGACAGGGACTTGTTTCCAACAAGTGTAAATACACTCGGATTCTCTCATTAGGTCTATAATACGTGTTTTAAGTAATCGAAAAATAACAAAAATTAAAGTATATAATAGAAATAAATAAATAATTATAATTAAATTATACAATAACATTTGTAACCTAGAACCTTTGATAAAATTTCCAACAAAGATTCTCATTTTTTTTATTTATTTTATTAATTCCGTTGATATTGTAAATTTTTCGAATCACATGAAAATAAAATATCTAATTTATGCAGGTAGAGTGGACCCTTAATGATGAATGAATTTCTGGGAAACATGGGAGGGGTGGTCCCTTTCGTTGTAGTATATAATGGCCTAACAGTAATGGCCACAAACGCATAACAAAAATGTATCTGATGAGTTGTGTTCCGAGTGAGCAGATGGAGTCGAGATGGCTCGCTCTAGTTATGTTGGCGTTTTTAACGTTAGGAGCTTGTGGGTATTGTGAGTGTTGCTTGGAGGAAGAACGAGTCGCCCTCTCCCGACTCAAACCCTTCTTCCCTTTCATTGATTACACAAATGATGTTGCGGTCACCGGGTAAAGTTGATATTTTAATGGTTATTGACGTCATATGTTCATATGTGTTTAATTATTATTTTTTTTGGATAAGTAAGAATTTTATTATCCAAACAATAAAGTTTTGCTACAAATCATTCAACCAATCAATACAAAAAAGAAACTATGCACACCTAAACAAAGATAGTGAATGGAAGAGCTATAAACCCCAAGCATTACAAAGGTTAAGATTAGTACTATCAAGCCTATTGATATTTTTTCCCCTAAGACAAAACCGAACAGCATCAATGATTTCGGTTAGCAAAATTTCAGTAGGTCTTGACCGATGTTGGAAAATTCGTTGATTTCTTTCCTGCCATATAGTATAGATAAAAGCAGACCAAGCTATCTTTAAAATGAAGGTGATAAGAGATTTCCCTTTCCATGAAGTGCTTGCTGTAGCAATCGTTTCTTCCCTTGATAAGTTTGTAGGATTCATTCCATTCAATGTCAAAACAGAATTCCATAAGCAGACGGCTAGTGAACACTCAGAAAATAGGTGGTTTCTTGTCTCGTGAGATAAGTTGCAGTTTACACATGCTGTATCAGTGCTAATTCCCATTCGTTGTAGGCGGTCTCTGGTATGTAGTCTGTCCTGTAGAGCCATCCAAACGATTAAGCAATGCTTCGGGATATGCATTGGAAACCAAATAAGTTTATGCCATGGAACTTTCTGCCCTTTTGGTCTAATCTCATCCCAAACTTCCTTCATCTGAAGTGAGTTTGAATAAAAAGAGACTGCATCAGCCCTCATTTTTAAAATTCTTTTTGTGTTCCAGCTGAGATTGGAGGCAGGTTCAAATTGCCAGAAATCGTTCTCTTTGATGATATAGCTTTTTAGCCATGCAACCCAAAGGGATCCATCACCAGCCAGAATTTTTCTTATGAGAATAATAATACAAGCTCTATTCCAGCTTTTGATGTTTTTCAGACCGAGATCGCCTTCAGATTTTGAGAGGCAAATATGTTCCCAACTCACTCGAGCTCCAGCAGCAGATTTATTGACATGTGTTATTTATACATAACAACTTACAAACACTACATGTATCACTAGCATGTCAACAAGCGTTAACCATTAGTGAACCTACGGTTTCCATGCAAAAAATGACCATTTTGATCAATAATAAAACATTGAAGATTAAAATACTTTTAGGGGTCAAAATGAGTATTTTACCAAATGTTAAAGGGCAAAATTTTTCACATATTATACTAATCCTCCTCAATCTTTTTTTTCTTGGTCCTTCGTATTTGGGTGCAGGTATTAAGATGCTATCAAGATTGAATCATTTAGAGACTTTGAATTTATCTAATAACTTCTTCTTAAGTAACAAGATCCTACCTCAATTACATGATTTTACTTCTTTAAAATCATTGAATCTACAGAATTGTGGATTAGAAGGAACTGTTGATTTACTGGGTAAGCTTTGTTTTAAAATCTTTCGCTTGATTTGAAATAGTTGGACAGAAATTGAATTGATGGATTTCAACAGAATTCAATACTCTGGAGAATTTAAAGGAATTGTATTTAGGCGACAATGGGATTGGGAGCTTGGGATCTTCATTCCAAGGTATTTCACTTAGCTCTATAAATTGTTATCTACTTTTGAATTATATAGTAATTAAAACATATGTACTATGTGAAATGTATAATATTTTTAAAATAAAAAAATCAAATTAATAATGCGACAGAATTAAGGCTGACGAGTTTGGAAGTGCTTCATTTACGGGCGAATCCCTTCAACAATAGCATATTGTCATCTCTTGGTAGGTTTCCAAATCTGAAATCTTTGTCGCTTGGAGGCTCTGAATTAAAAGGAACAATAGATATTAAAGGTAAATTTGTCACCCTTTCTTTTAATTACACCCTCGGTTATTTTATATTTCTAAAATCTTACGAGTAAATGGATTAAATTTCAAAAGTTCCAAGAATACAAGGATTGAAGGCAGAATTAAACCAATTGAGTTATATCACAATTTTTTATCTTCTCAGAGTTACGTGGTTTGAGAGACTTGGAGGAACTGGACATCGTCTGCTATTCAGGTACTGCTAATAGAAAATCATGGGTTTATAAATTAAAAAAAAAATTAATTTTTTTAGTTTAATATTTTGAAATATTATTTTAAGGGTAAAGTATACAGATGGTCCCGATTATAGGGTGATATTTTATTGATTCATCGACTATTAAAAATTATAAAATGATCATATTGTTAGTATCAACCCATAATAAATATGAAAAACAAATTATGATCTAATCATGCCAAATCATCAAGAATAAAATACTAGATGCGGAAGCGTACCTAGATTAATTGATAGGTTGAAATCTTTGAATCTTTCTTCGGTTGTGATCTTCTAAGACGATAGAGTTCTCTTAAGTATAAATTCTCTTTCGTGATAAAAGAAAATACAAAATTATCTATTTATTGAGGATCATAACCTCTTTATATGGTTGATTTAAGAATCAATTATTGTATGTATTTATAACTCTATCCCTTATCAAATTATAAATACAACTTTAATAGTATCTACACTTTTATTTTCATGACACTTCTAATACCTTATGACTTTATAATATGATTGGTCACTTAATTTGTCATATTTTATGATAACAATATATAAAAATATGTGCTCATAATTATGAATTTTAATCCAATACCTCTGACTATAGAGTGTTGCTTTGTTGAGTCCCTAGACTATTAAAAGTTATAAAATGGTCATCCAACTATTTATTATGTTCCAAACTCGTTCTTTTTTTGTTAAAAATTAATGGTAGTCTAAGCTGAATTTTAACATGTTGATTGTGATATGATAAAATTCGATCTCAGAATCTCAGACGTCTGTCATATCCCAGTCATCATGTTAGCGTTTAGCACAAACGACGGTCAATTTTCTAACGGAAAAGGACGAGTTTGGAACATAATGAATAGTCGGGTGACCATTTTGTAACTTTTAATAGTTGAGGGACTTGATAAAGCAATATCATATAGTCATGGTATCATTTGTATACTTTGCCCTATTTTTAAAATGTAATTGAAATTTCCAAAATAAATAAAGTAATTAAAAAATTGTATCCTTGTTGTGTAGGTTGTAGCCTTCCACTGCAATCATTTGGCTCATTCCCATCGTTAAAGACTCTTTCTTTGAGAAGCTTTAGTTTTAATGATACGACAATGACATCCGATTCTCAAAACAGTAAGTCATGATATTCAAAAATGGTTGTCCCTCGTTCCCATATGTAATGGGGGTAAGGGGGAGGTAAGATAGTAGGCTGCCCCCAACACTAGGTTGAGAGCAACTTCCGTAGAAGACCTCCAAATTGTGAAATGCATATATAATTTTACTAACTCATAAGAGTTGGTCTTGATAGGTACCGTTGGAAGCCCAGGAGAATTTTCTTCTTTAAAACATTTGGAGTTGTTCGGATGTGAGATCAGTCCAAATTTCACTCTAGAAGGTAATTTGATTAGTATTTGAATTATTAAAAACTTAATTAACTGAAATAAATAATTTGATCCGTTTGATCATTTCTTAAAATTTTCAATTAATTTGTCATCCGTTGGATCTCTTTCAGTGTTTCAATTGAAGAATTTGGAGTATTTAGACATATCATATACTCCACTTGGAAATAACTTTCTTCAAAAAATTGGTGCATTGCCTTCTCTCAAGTTTCTTACCATAAAGGGTTGTGGACTCAATGGCACTTTACATGTCCAAGGTAAAATTGTTTTTTATCTCTAAAATTTCCTTTGAAATAAAAAATGTTAAATAATTTATTTGTTTAATTATAATATTTGTTAGAAGATAATTGTAAGTATAATAACAACACTTGTTAGAAGATAACGACAAGTGTATTGGTCACGCAATGAAATAGACATTAGGATTTTATGTAGAAAATCCTTTCGAAGAAATTAAGGGAAAATATAAAATTCATTGATATCGAAAATAGGAGAATACCAGAGGAATTCTTAATAATAGCTTAATCTCTACCCTTAATCTCTACTACCTATTGTAGAGATAAATACTTGATTACAAATAAGATTTATCGAATAAAGATCAGTTAAAATTAGATTTTCTACCTTTAATTATCATGTACTTCTAATTAAATTAGAATTCTTATAAGTTAAAACGAACCAACAATCTGTCGGTCCAGGGAGATGAGGTACTGAATCGTTCAAACAATGTTAGGAGTTCTTATCATGATGTTTGAGAAGGAAACAAACTGGGTTGGGAGGGTCGCTCCCATAATAAGCCTTTGTAAAACACGATCTAAAATAATCTATTAACATATTGGATACAGATGGTTAAACCAAAAAAAATTAAATAAATTAAACTGAATTCGAAGAAAACTCTAACGTTATTATATTTCATGTGCAGCCTTTTGTGATTTGACGAACCTCCGAGAATTGGCTATAGCCCACAATAATTTAACGGGCAATTTATCCGAGTGTATTTCCAACTTCACGTCTCTCGAAAGTATGGATCTTGCTTCAAATCAGTTATCTGGAGAAATATCTGCCCTTGAGAGTTTAAATTCCCTTAAAAGTTTAGATCTTTCTTCCAATCAATTGTCGGGGGATATTGCAACCATTAAGAACTTAACTTCCCTTGAAAGTTTAGATCTTTCTTCCAACCAATTTTCGGGAAATTTGTCGATCTTTCAGAGTTTAACATCCCTTGTGATGTTGAGCCTTTCAGACAATTACTTTCGAGTCCCAATCTCAATGGAACCTTTCTTCATCCTTCCAAATCTCAAGGTTTTCTATGCAGACAATAATATCATGTACGTTGAAAGCGAGAAACAATCCTTGGTCCCAAGATTTCAATTGAATCGGATCGGATTATCTTGTTGCGGAGATGTTGGGCAATTTCCTGCATTCCTCTACCACCAGCATGGCTTGCAGATTGTTGATCTCTCGAATGTCAACTTAAAAGGAGAATTCCCAAATTGGTTGTTGCAAAACAACACAAATTTAGAAGGTTTAGGTCTTGCCAACAACTCTCTCCTGGGACCTATAGAGTTATCTTTTCTTCCACATACAAAATTACGGTGGTTAGATGTCTCAAAAAATTACTTCTATGGCAAAGTTCCGACTGGGATCGAGGCAAAACTACCATCATTGTCGTTTTTGAACATGTCAAAGAATCATTTTCACGGCAGTATTCCTGTTTCGATTGGTGATATGAATGACCTGCTAAGCTTAGACTTGTCTGACAATCAATTGTCCGGTGGACTGCCTGAGCATTTGACCATGGGCTGCTCTTCATTGCGTTCCCTTATTCTGTCAAATAACAGATTGCAAGGGCAGATGATGTCTTCAAAGTTTAATCTCACATATTTGAGTGAGTTGCGTTTGGATGGGAATCATTTCTGGGGGGAAATCCCAGATTCTTTGTCTAATTGCTCTTGGTTGTTTATATTGGATTTAAGCAATAACCAGCTTTCTGGGGAGATTCCGAATTGGATGAAGAATATGTTACAGTTGACAACCTTGGATTTAAGCAATAATAAGATTTCTGGTGAGATTCCAAGGTGGATGGGAAATCTGTCAAATTTGGAAGATATTGTGATGGCGCAAAATCATCTTCAAGGTCCATTCCCGGTGGAGTTTTGCAATCTTAATCTTAATCTTAAACTTTTAGACCTTTCCGTGAACAATATTTCTGGGCATATTCCATCGTGCTTCAGCCCATTATGGATCAGCCAAGTTCGCCTATCAAGAAACAAGCTACAAGGGCCACTCACAAATGCTTTCCGAAATAGCAGCATCTTGGTGACATTAGATATCAGCAACAACCACTTGACTGGAAAAATTCCGAATTGGATTGGCAACCTTTCTCAGCTGAGCTATCTTCTCTTAAACAACAACCATTTTGAAGGTGGCATTCCATTTGAGTTGTGCAACTTGGATCAATTAAGCTTGATTGATCTTTCCAATAACAATCTTTCGGGTACCATTCCGCCTTGCTTGATGATTACAACGCTTAACGAAGTATCTCAAGAATATGTTCGTTACGTCGCTGCCGTCGCACAAGCTCCGAGTTCGTTCTCCATCGATAATCCGATACAGTTCACGACGAAAAACAACTCATACTCTTATAAGGGAAGAGTCCTTACATACTTGTCTGGCATAGATTTCTCGTGCAACAAGTTGACAGGAGAGATTCCCCACCAAGTGAACAAGTTCCAAAACATATTTACTTTGAATCTGTCTCACAACAGCTTGATAGGATCAATCCCACCGGCATTTTCCGATCTGAAGCAAATCGAGAGCCTCGATCTTTCCCACAACAACTTGAATGGTACGATCTCTCCACAACTCGTGGGCCTATACCGCTTGTCTTATTTCAGCGTGGCGTACAATAATTTGTCCGGAAGTACACCGGTAATGACAGCACAATTCTCGACATTCGAGGAAAGCAGCTACATTGGAAATCCTCTTCTCTGTGGTAAACCGTTGTCGAAGAACTGCTCAACACCCGAACCATCACCGTCTTCGTTGCCGAAGGGGTCGAGCGACGACAGCTTGATCGATATGACCGCCTTCTACGCGTCGTTTGTCGCGTCTTATGTCGTGGTGATACTGAGTATTGCGACTGTGCTATACATTAATCCTTACTGGAGACGAGCATGGTTCTATCATATAGGGGAAATCAGCAAATGTTGCTACTATTTCTTGGAAGATCACATTCTACCTAAGAGATTCCTCAGGGGAAATTAATATGTAAGATTTCTCTACTCCCAGTGCGTGAAAGCTAAGAAATAATAAGATATTATTCTTATATATAAATATATAATATTATATTAACTTTGAGATCAACCTTATTTCATAATTATATTGAGTATGACAAAATCATTTCTATAATAATAAAATTATTTTACCATAACATAATAAATTTGTTTTACCTTTTTTTTTTCATTTTTTTGGTATAACCACTGGTATCTAATCTATTGATCGATTAATTCGGATCGGATACAACAAAGGCAAAGACGACCTTTCCAATTCAATTTACTCCATTCACAATAGTCAATATTCGAATAATTATATTTTACTGAATTTTACTACCGGTTACTAATATTTTCATCTTGCAGTAATGCATCTACCAACGGTTATTATTTTATCAAATAGTTATATTTTATTAAGTTCTGAAAAATTACTCCAAGTAACGTTAATAATCCGCTATGTATCAGTTATACTCAACCGTATTTAGTTTGTCCTATTATTTTTTGAACCGGTCTAGGATGTAACAGATTACCTTACAGTTTTTTGAATTATCTATTATTAACCATTAAAAAATACAAAATCAAAGTCATTAACAAAATTATAAGGTTTAAGTATAAAATAATTGCCCACATTATACACTTTTTTTCCGAATAGGTGTCTAATGTATTTTTCGGCCCATCCAGGTGATCGACGTTATAAACGTTATCACCTTAAGTGGCTTGATGTTAACGGCTGTTAAAAGATCTCGTAAGTGACACGTGTCAAAATCAGGTAATTTTAAAATTTTATTTAAAAAACTTAAAAATATTTTATTTTCGAAAAACCACCATTTTTTTTCTAAAATACCAAAAAAACCTAATCTCTAAAAATATCTTATTTTAGTCTCATTTAATATTCGTCGACGACAAGTCGTCCATACGTAGCTAACCACCCACTAACCAGTTACAACTCTTAATATCATCTCAAAACCTAAAATTCTCAAATCCCTAAATTTCAATCCCTAATCCCTAAAATACTAAATACTCAGTCCCTTAAATTCATTTGATCAGTCGTGGTAATCAACTGTTGAAACCGTCCCGTTGACCATTTGATCGGTCGACCGTTTGAATTTTGGGCCGAAAAATACTTTAGGCACCTATTCGGAAAAAAATATATAGTTTGGGCACTTATTTTATACTTAAGTCTTTTTATTTTTTTAAAATTAAATATTTCAAAATTTTAGGTCCGTGACAAGTGTCACTTAACGAGCATTTTTAACGGCCGTTAGAACTGAGACACCAAAACTAATAATGTTTGTAACGTGGAGCACCTAAAGTAATAACATTTATAACTTTAGGCACCTATGCCGGCTATCACCTCATCTCTCTTCGAAGGCCAAAACTCCCATGAAATCATGGTCAATCAACGACGGATCATCGTTTTATACCTAGCTAACCCTAGGATGAAAATTGTGATCCCACGAGATCTCAACGACCAATCGACGACAACTATGACGTATGACTAGGAGGATGACAGGGAAGTCAGTAGGGGTGGTTGTGGCCGGAAAAGGGGCGGAGGGTTAAGGATAGGATTTGAGGATTTTTATAATTTAAGAGAAAATAGGTTTTTTATAAATATAATAATATTTAGCAAAAAATAAATTTCAAAATCATTAGATTATGACACGCGTCACTTAATAGAAAAATTTAACGCCGTTGACAGTCCGAGAACCAAAGTGGGTAATATTTGTAACGTTAAGCACCTGGATGGGTCAAAAATTAGCTTAGGCACCTATTTGAGAATTTAGGTATAATTTGGCCACTAATTTTGGTATTAAGCCTTAAATTTATAAATTTATTTTTTAATATATATTGTAAGCTCGGATGAACTGACCCAACAAAATAATGGCAAATAGATCTTTGAGCTCATCAATTATTATAAATAATTTTAATTTAAATGATACATTTCAACTGGTTTTTACATTAATATATTTGTAGATTTTATTATTTATAATAAATTATATTTTCAACATAAAAAAGTGTTATTAGTGCTAATATTATTATATTGAATTCACTTCCGTTGACTTTGACGTTTAGCCGCCTCTTAAGTTATAATCATAAGACATTTGTGATAAACCTTTTCCGTGCTAAAAATAGCAATAAATACATCATCATTGTCATCATCATAATATTAATATAAGATCATGTGATAAAAATGGTTTTATTATTAAATGAGTATTTGAATTATGACGTCTTTTTTTAAGTGATTAATGTTTTATTTTATTATTATCTTCTTCTTTTCTCCTTGTTGACCTTCTAATAAAACAAACATGAAAGTAAAGGAAAATTTTAGAAATTAATTGGTTTTGGAAAATTAAATAATCTTAAATCTTAAACATTTTAATTTTAAAAATTCGTTAAAATTAAACAAACTATCTGGTGAGAGACTCACTCGTAAAAATCAGTTATGCGACTCGGTTTAAATTAATCAAACATAACCTTACGCCGGTAGGGTAAAAAAAATAAAGAAACTAAGTGACATATTTACTCTAAAATTTGATTTCTAAAAATTTAAAAAAAAAAAAAATCAGAACGAAAGCCATGAAGAAACCAAGTGAGAATCTGTGTGTGGAGCAAAGTCTCCACATTTTGCATGAGAAGAAACCACATTATGAAACAAGAAAGATCTGCAAAGTGGGCAAGTGAAGTGATCCCTTTCCATCCATTTCTCAATGCAATCCATGTGAAAAACATGCCGGCATTTCTCGATTCGGCTAACAACGTCTCCGTCATCGAACTCCGCCAAACAAACGGCGCAGACCGCGCCATCATCATCTCCGTCGCCACCGCCGGAAAGCTTCAAATCTTCAAACCTCGCAGCCGGGAGGCAAACACCAGTCGTCGGGAACCCCCGCTCCGACTGAGACCGCGGGAAGACGATAACCAGCAGGCTCGAAACGAGGCTCTTGAACTGAAGATACGGGATCCACACACAAGTGTAGAAAATCAGGGCCGCCATGCATGAACCCGAGTTAGAAAACATTAGAGAAATCATCTTTTTTTCTTCTTCTTTCTTGTTTGTTAAATGCTCCGTCTCAAAGAAACAAATTCACTAGAGAAGAGAAACCTTTATATAGGCCGGGAACGAGGGAACATGCAAGTGTTCCCAAGATACTCTTGAGCAAAGCCTTTGACTTTTTATTTGTTTAATTAAAAAGGGTTGTTATGGAACTGTGAATCCGGCGAGAGTGGAGGGCCGGCGCCGACCCCACATCCTCCGAGAGTCTGCGCTTTTATTTTATTCGGGAAGAAGCCGCGCTTCCAGCCAAAGCAATAACCGAAACATGCTATCTTAGTACTCCATTAATCCCATTAAACGAAAAGATATTTAGGGCTAATGGCATGAATGGTCCGTGGATTATAGTAAATCTTCCCTATGCGACTCATGTTTCCAAAATGGTACCTGCCTAGTGCTGTAAACAAATTGAGTCGAGCTTGAGAATTGTTAGCTCGACTCGATTTGAAAAATCGAAAGTATAGTTTGACTTGATTCGAGAATTTACGAGCTTAAAATTATCAAATTCGACTCAAACTCAAAATTAAAAAAAATTAAAGCTCGACTAGATTTAAAAGCTTGCAAGCTCAAAATTGACAAACTCGATTCAAATCGAAAGCTCACGAGCTTAGAATTGTGAAGTTTGTCTCGAAATCAAATTTTGAAACTCGAATATAGGTCGAAAAAACTTAAACTCAAAATATTATGAGACTTAATTCAATTGAAGCTCAAGCACATCGACTCCTAATATAGACGTAATCTATGTGGTTATCGGGTCATTACCCCAAAAAAACGATTAATTATTTCCAATTTCGATAGGTTACAGTGTCTTGTACTGAAGACCAATAAAGAAGAGCAAGTTTATCAGAGATATTAACAAGTAAAAAACAAAACCAAAAATCGACCATCGTTTGTCCTATCCACAATCTGACCCTTTGTTGACCCAAAACGATGGCACATCGATCCTGAATTGCCTCCTTAATTCAGGCTAAAATAAGAACATTATTAAATTTAGAGCTTAATGTGAATAAAAGATTTAAATATTGAATGTTACTTTATGATCTTTTCATTTTCTTCTCTGATGAAATTTTAGATCACACTAGATTTTATTTTATTGATTGATAAAGTAGACAATAATTTTAAAGAGCGGTAAGATGGTAGTCTGGGTGATAATTCTTGTGGTTAGTGTTGTCTTGGTTTTCTGGTGAAGAAGAGTGTATGTGTCCTTATTCGGTGTCGCACGGTTATTTATAATGCTCTGGAAAAGTGTCAATTGAGAGTTATCATAATGTTGGTGTCAATTGGACATCCTAAGAAGTGATGACATAAGTTGATTAGTCGTCAAATGAGAGTATGTGTATCAATACATGATCGTTGATGATCGTACGTAAGATGTACTCACAGGAATGGTAGATGAACGACACACGTTTGTTGATGGTTGTTCGCGGAGTACGCTCTACATGTCTAAAGACTCGCATGATTTGTAAATTCTCCAGGTGGAGGTAGTTTGTGGGCATCGCAGGTAGTAATAAGTCTATAAAAATATTTTTATTATATACTCTTCTCGATTTAATATGAAATTAATAATTAATTTTTTAACATTATTAATCATTAGATTCTGAGTTAGGATATTTGACCAATTGGCTAAACTGTTTATTTTTGTTATTTTATATTTTCTTAGGTCATAAATTATAAATCCTCTACAAATACTTTCCATCCTTTTCTTAGAGGTCACTTTTCATTTTTCCTCATAGTAAAATTAAGATTAGATTTAGAATTTTTCAATATATATATATAAGGATTATTTTGTAATATTTAATAATTAAATGACTCAATAGAATACTATCCTACAATCAGATGATTATTTATGTATTTTATCCAAAAATAAAATCATTAGATTCGATAACGTTAAACATGATATAAACCATAATATTTTAAAATTTAAAAAGGAGTCTGCTACGGCAATACAATATATTTAAAGCCTCAAAATCAGAGGTGCAATGTCACATGCCGCTTATGCTCCATGTGTTTTGTGTTTTCTTATAATCTTGTCGGAACCCAAGTTTAAAGTGGTAATTACGTGGGTTGATAGGGTGGACAACGATAAAGTTGTAAATGAGATAAGTTTGAAATTTTCAAACTCGACTCAAACTCAAAATCATGAATTGAATATCGTAAAAGTTCGAAAAGGTTCAAAAGAATTTTAAACTTAATTCGATTAAAGCCTCAAACATAAACCTTAAATACATGAAAAATCTTCTATTGTACTTTTTTTAAAAATCAACACATAAATGTTAATATTATTAATAAATTATTTAAAAAAAATAAAATCTTAATATATTATATTTTCAATCACGAGTTTTTCAAATCAAATATCAAATAACTCATTTTAACTCGTTAAAAATTAAAATCGAGTCTATTCAAATTAGATATTTATCAAATTTTAATTAAATTAATATTAAATAGCTTATAATCTGCCTCATCTATTTAAAAACCTCGGTCGGTCTCGTGTAGAGCCGTAGTCAAGGAGACGACCAATTCCTTAACATCTCATTATCGGCTGTTTTTTCTCTCCCCCTCAAACACGCACGTGATTGTTCTCCTTGTTGCCCGAGCTAGTAGGGGGCTGATTAGGACTATAAATCAATCTATTTTGAATTAATAAGATTCTGTTTATTTATTTATTTTTAAATATATCTATATACACTTTGTAGTAGCTTAAATTATTAATGATGTATTTATATTTATTTGTTTACTTTTAAAAGTATTTGTGTTCGATTCGTCTAATATTTATAAATATATTTATTTAATATTTGTAAACATGTTCATTTATACGATTAAAATATCCACGACAATTAGCACTCTCTTTTGACTTTTTTATTTGCAACTTCTTAAATTTTTTGGGTTTCACAATCTAAACTTCAAAATTTACCTTGCGTTCAATTTAATCTTTATTTTTATCGATATGGAAAATATAAAAGAAGAAGAAGAAGAAAAAGAATTCGGAAAACGAGCTTACAAACAAGCTTATAAACGAGTTTGTCCGTGGATATAAACGAATTAGACGCACATATATTCACGTTCATAATTATTTATTTAACTTAATAAATAAATATTGTAATAACAATTTATGAATAATTCCTTCAACACTAAATTTATTTATACTCTTACAACTTATATAATTCAAATTGAATGGGAGGTGGCCGAATATTGGTTTTCTGACAGATCTCAAGGAGTTCACTGCAATTACACCATCTGTGTTCTTCACCAAATATATATATATATATATATATATTATATTTTCAAATATTTATTTTTAATAAAATATACTTTAAATATTCAACCATAAATATAATAAGTATATTTTGAATATTTACTTTTAAAAGTATACCATTTTAGTGTAAAAATTTGTATCTGAACTAATCCGATACAAATGTTTAAAGTGTTTGCATTTAAAAATGATATATCTATTGAAAATATTTATATATAAATAGGGATATTATAGTAATTATCTCTAAATATATAAAATAAAATGCTCAATGGAAAAACCATTACTCAAACTACATCTTTTGCTTATTTTAGGTTTATAAAATATTTTTTATTCGGAGTAGGTGTTTAACATTTCCGACGTTAATTTTTTAGAGGTATGATCCGTCACGACTTTTAAAAAAATTATTATATAACGTGTGTCATGTCTGTATTTTTTCAAAAGATTTTATTTTAAAAACAAATTTTAAAATTATGATATTTAAAAAAACTCTAAATTCTTCTAAAATCATAAAAAAATCTTAAATCTTTAAAATACCTAATTCCAAGGCATATCGCCACTAACATCGTCAATCGATCAAAACTCCAACATCATTAACTGGTCAAAACCTCAATAATGTCAATCGGTTGAATTCTGCCACCAACGTTGCATGACAACAAGCATAAATAGAGAAAAAATAAATCCCGACCAAACCATCAATATCGTTGCCTTGATGGTCGAAGCAGAACGACAACGTCAGGGTAGAACGACGACAAATGTGATGTAGAATCATTTTCTTCCTCTAGAGTGACGGGTGATGATTTTCTTCCTCAAATCCTAAATCAGATTAAGGGCGACAACAAGTGTTAATAATGAAGTGGTTGACGGCAAAAAGAGGTAATAAGGACGACGACAACGATCAATAATGAAAGATAGTATTAGCGTTAGAGATTTTAGAGAGATTAGAACTTTTTTTTAAAACATACTATAGTTTAAAGTTTTTTAAATAAAATTTTTAAAAAATACGATACGTGTTAGGTAACAATTTTTTAACGATCAAGGTGTAGTTATTTAAAAGAGTAACAAATAAAATGCTAGGCACCTGCATTGAGCAAAAAATACATTAGGCACCTAAAACAAACAAAGTGTATAATTTAGACACTTACTCAATCTGATCTTAACTTTTTTTTTAAGTATGATCTTATCAGATCAAGCCAAAATCTATTAAATTATAATAAAATCGTTGTATTTAAATACACCATGCCATGGCACGAACCAAGCTGACCTCGGTGGTTAAAAGGATAATTGTTATCTCTAGAGGTCTCAGGTTCAAGCACAAGTGAATACAAGGTATTTAAGTGTTCATTGTAAAATGATTGAGAGTATTTAGAACAAATACTATCACTTATAATCACCCTAGATCAATTAAAAATGGTTTAATTATAAAATAAGTGCCCAAACTATAGCGCTTTTCACGAATAGGTGCCCAAACTTTTTTTTGAATGATCCAGGTTCCTAACGCTACAAATGTTACAACTCTAGGTGCCCGAGTTATAAACTTTGTTAATTTTCTCTGCTAAGTGACACGTGTAACATTCGAGTAATTTTAAAAAAATTATTTAAAATTTTTAAAAAAACACAAAATTTTTGAAATAGCACCAAAACTTTGAAATCCCTCATTTTAACCCCTAAAACCAAGTTAGTTGCCGCCCTTTGCTGTCGACAAAGCTCACTCGACCTTACTCCCCCGAAGATCAATAACCCTATGAAATTGCGACCCATCGATGACAAATCTATGACCAATCAACATTTTGTACCCCGCGGACCCTAGGATAAAGATTCGACCGCACACGATCCTAACGGTCAATCGACGACAACTATGGCAGCATATGACTATGAAGATGACAAGGACTACGTTAGCAGCGGTAGTCGTAACCGACGATAGGTTAGGGATTTAAGATTTTTTGGGACTTGAGTTTTTTTTTTGTAATTCAAGAGAAAGTAGAGTTTTTTTATTAACATAATAATATTTTTATTTTTAAAAAATATTCAAATTTACCAGAATGTGACACGTGTCACTTAACGTAGAAAATTAACGTTGTTTATATTCCGGACACCTGAAGTAGTAACGTTTGTAACGTTAGACACCTAGATCGTTAAAAAAAAGTTTAGGCACCTATTCGCCAAAAATGATATAGTTTAGGCACTTATTTTATAATTAAGCCAATAAAATACACCATGCCATGATGATAACAGGCTTAGAGCCCATAAAGAGAGCATGTTAGTAGGCTTAAAGCCCATAAAGAGCACCAAAATTTGAATATTGATAGTTAACACGTGAGAGAGATTTGCACCTATTTATTGTTACCCTCACGGAAAGAATGGAAAACTGCGGTTTCATTACCTGTTTCAACATCGGTTTCTGTCTCCTCCAACAATCCCGAGTCCTGTCTTGTTTCCGTTTCTCCCGATTCAAAAAAACCCAGCCTCGGCCGAGTGAGCTACCTAACTCAGCTGGCCGGGTTCAACTCGGAGCTAGGTCTTATAGCCATTTCTCTCTCCAACAAAGACAGTCGAAGTAAGTTTCTTTTTGTTTGTTAAGGTTCATTAATGCCGTACCCTCTCCAGGATTTTGTCTCAGGCGTTTCTTTTCCCTCTTTTTTCCATGTAATTTTAATGCAGGGGGGCTTAAAAAGAATCAGATCCCTTTCTTTTCTTGAAAAAGAAGTTGTTCATTTTGTTGTTAACCCAGAAAGCAAGTGACGTCTGTATGGGGAAACTTGTTTCTTGTGATATTGTTTTTGTTTTGTGAGTTTAATTGAAAAATATTTTGGCTTTTATGGATCTTTTTATTTATTTTAGGAACAAGAAGAGTTGGACGATTCCGAGCCAGTCATGGAAGGAACTGAGGCTGTTGTTGTAGCCGAACCTGACTGTTTAGCTCAAATGGACATTGGAACAGAAGCTGCTGAAGTGAAAGACCGTGTTCAAGTTGAAGAAGATGAGAAATTGGCGGCTCAACCAGTCGGCGACAAGCTGGATTCCGTTGAAGGACAAGCTGTTTCTGACCAGACCTACGGTCGTGAGGACAATGACGAAGCTCACAATGTTGTTGTTGCTGCTGCTGATCAAAATGAGGAGCTTTTAAAGTCTGGGGATGATGAAGATGGTGAATTTAGGGATGTCGAGGACAAATCTGTGGCTGAACCTGTTACCGGAATGGATGAAATTGAACATGACAATGAACTCTGTGGAAGCCCCACTGCTGAAGTAAAAGGCAAGCCCGAAGATGATGCCGATGGAGTTGACAATCAGGAGCTGACCACATCGAGAGAACTCGATGACAAAAACCCTAGCCTCTGCTTCGACAACGACGGTTCCGACTTGGAGGAGGAACAAGCGGCTTTCGTGAAAGAGGTTGAAGCATTTTACAAGGAGAATAACCTTGATTTCAAGCACCCTAAGTTTTACAAGGAGGATTTGAATTTGCTCAAGTAAGCGTTTTTCAAGTATGCATGTTCATCATTTTCTTTGATAATATTGCAGTCTTTGTGTTAACTGTTCTTCCCTTTTTGATTTGGTTAAAGGTTATGGAGAGCTGTCATTAAATCGGGAGGCTATGAACAGGTTTGCTATTACATTAAACCGAAAGTGTAAAACTAAAATCGAATGTCATATCAATCACTTTATGTTCTTTTGTAATGTGTTGCTTCCTTGATCCTTAATTTCAAGGAGATGCCTGTGTGTACAGCATCTGTATGTGAAAACTCATTGTTGTTCGTTACATTGAATCATTATAGTTCGTTGGGTTTTACCGAACATGAAAGAGGCGGTTAATTCCGTTTTAACGTATATTCACTTGCCTTTTATAGTTAAGAATATGAAGTAGTTATGGACTTCCTTTCCTAATCGCGCCATGGACTTTGTAGGTGACCTCAAGCAAATTGTGGAGGCAGGTGGGAGAATCTTTTAATCCCCCAAAGTGAGAATAACCTGTAACGTCTTATTGATGAGCTAGCGATTTGCATGACTTGAGTACTGAAAAGCCTGCACTTTTCTCCTATTAAAACTGCTTGTTCAATTTTCGGTGAATTGTGATTTCGTATGACATTTTCTATCGCGGGGGAAAATCTATCGGATTAAACCTTTATATTTGCTAACTCTGTTTCCTGTTTTTATGAATAGAATTTGTTATCGAAGCACCCTCGTGTCCTTATACCTCTATTACGGCTAACCTTTAATTTACCTATCTATTTCTTGCGCATAGGACCTGTACTACTGTGTCTTGGACATTCCGTATCTTTTATGAGAAGGTTTGGCTCTGACCACATATTTCCATTCATTATAGTAACAGAGATGTACTTTGCATTAAGGCCCCATTCCTTCCTCCTCCGTCTCTAATATTTATTATCTTTATTTTCTATTTTGACTTGTGGTTCTCCTGTAATTTGGTTCCATCAATTTGTGCAGGCACTGCTTGAGTATGAAAAGCATAAAATGCATGGTGCTGTACTCCCTCATTCTGTTCCTTCCCTCGTAGAGCCTATCACAGTTGTTAGTCCGGTAAAATCCAATCCGATCTGCTTGACATAGCATATTTGTTTCAGTGTTGCTTGTTAGCATGAATGCTGTTTGTCGTATCCATATTTATATTGTCCACATTTTCCTTCCATCTAGTTTTTGCCTCCTTTGTACGATGAAGAAATGTGATCTTGACTTTTGCATATGCGAATGTTCTCTTCAATCGATGATAACTTATTAAGAGTACATGCATGTTGTGGTGCATGCGGTAACAAAACCGATCCTATGGACACTATGAAGTTCATATTGAATTCTGGGGTCCATAACCTTAATTAACGAAGCATTTGCATAGTAAGCATAAACATAGTAACTTCTTTTCCAATAGCAAGTTAAATATATTATCCAACGACTTCTATAAATTTTGTGTAGCCGCTTGATAGTACTCAAGCTCCTGGGTCCGGTAGAGCGAAGAGGGATGCTGCTGCTCGTGCTATGCAGAGCTGGCATTCTCAGCGTGTTTTTGATAATGGCGAGGTATGTCATCCAATCATCAAGATTTTGTGGATAACTTCCTTGCTTTATCGATTTAATCTTTTGTTTATCCCCCCCCTTCATCTGCTCTGCTCTCACCGTTTCTATGAATGTTTCCTTGATTTTCTAGGACAAAAGCTTGAGTCCGACACCCAAAAGTGACAGACAACCTAAAAATTCTGGTATTTCTAATAGTCTAATTCACTGACCAAGCACATTCAGCAACAACAATTCTGAAAGTTGTTTTTTTATGTCTGATACTTGGTTTATTGTCTCAGGTTCATTAAAGCGCAAAAAGCCATCAACTATGGAGCATGGTGTCCGAGCTATTCCATTTAAACCGAAAAAATTACGGTTATGATTGCCTGTTAATTCTTTTTTCCTTTTCCGTTCTGTAAAACTTTTGAAACAAAATCTCGAGCTCGAGTTTTGAAGGTGCTGAAACTAGGTCTTCTTTTGGCAGGTCGGATACTATGGTTGTCGATATTGGAGCCCCGGCTGATTGGGTAAAGATTAACGTGCAAAAAACCGTATGTCTTCCTCACGTGATAGTTCTTAGATGACAGTGTGCGACATTAGTACCTATGAATCTATCTCTTTCTTCCCTTTCTCAGACCGACTGCTATGAGGTATTCGCTTTGATTCCCGGGTTTCTTCTTGAAGAGGTCAGTATATACATCTCTTCATGATTTTCCTTGTTTCATGTCTACTGGTACTCCTTTCGAATTTGAAATGGTGAAACTTTAAAGAGGCAACACGCCTCGATAGAAGAGAGATTTCGTTTTAGCCAAAAGGATGACGTTGCAGATGTATTAGTATTGTTTCCCTTTCATAGTAGAACTTCACTAGGTAATTTGTTCGGGTGCTCAAGCGAATTACTTCCCGTTCATGCAGCTCATGAAGGAAGGTTGTTCAAATAGTTACTGTTCATGTAGTTCATGGAGGAAGGCTGTTCGAATAGTTAAGACTGTTCATGTAGTTCATGAAGGAAGGCTGTTCAAATAGTTAAGACTGTTCATGTAGCTCACGAAGGCTGTTCGGGTGCTCAAGCGACTTATTCCCCTTCATGTAGCTCATGAAGCTAGACTGATCGAATAGTTAAGACTGTTCCTGTAGCTCATAAACTTTACTAGGAAATTTGTTCGGGTGCTCAAGCGACTTATTTCCAGTTCATGTTGCTCGTGGAGGCTGTTTGGGCGCACACAAGCGACTTACTTCTGGTTCATGTGCTAAGTCTGCACGAGTCTAGCCGTTATAAACGCTACACGATTCTTTCAGTGAATTTCTGAGAGAGGTTCATTGCAACTAACTAATTAAGATTAACCACCGCATCTGTTTTCGAATCTGTTTTATAATCATCTGCATGTGCTTAAATGAATCAGGTGCATGTTCAGTCCGACCAAGCAGGACACTTGGTTATATCCGGCGAACCGAGAGAATTGAACAATCCGTGGGGTGTCACACCCTTTAAAAAGGTTCGTCTCGATCGATGAAATCTTAGTATAGATAACGGTAGCCGTGTTCAGCAGCCATTATAAATGCCTGATCGGATTGGTAGCGACTGTTCTCATTCTCGAAACATTCTTTTTTCCAGGTTGTTAGTTTGCCGTCCAGAATAAACCCGAATGCCACATCCGCCGTCGTTACCCTGCAGGGTCAGCTGTTCGTGCGCGCCCCTTTCAAGACGTCGGGTGTATAAAGTGTAGGATTTTTATGTAGAGATTTCTTTTGTTTGAAACTGATGTCCGTCTTTTAAAAATTAAGATTTTCTCGTAACTAATGTGATTACAAAGTAGTATTTGTTTTAATACTTTCAATCATTTAACAATGGATGCTCAATTTCTTTTGTTACAGTCGTAGATACTTGAATCCGAGATCTTTAGGAATAACAATCATTCCTTAATAACCGAGATAAGTAGGTTCTTGAAATTTTTAACTGATTTTAATTTGACTTGATTTTATAAGGTTATTTTTTAGTAAATTATACATTGACCATGTAATTATAGCCCTTTTCATTTTAATCATAATTTTTGAAATTTATCAATCGGGTCACTTGATTATTTAAATGTATTTAATTAAATCACTCGTTGTTAACATTTAATCGAAGTGTTGACATGACAGTTAATAGAATTGACATAATCATATATTTAGTCCTCATTATTTGTACATTCTATCAAATTAGTCATAATTTTAAATTAGTTCAATAATTGGAGGATTAAATTTATGACTAATTTGATAGAATGTGTAAGTAATGAGGACTAAATGTGTCATTATGCCAATTTTATTAACTGTCACTTCATCACTTCTTAGGCCTGTAAACGAACCGAACGTTCAGTGAACTGTTCAGCGGGAAGTTCGTTTATGTTCGTTTATTTATTAAACGAACGAACACGAACAATATTTTGTGTTCGTTTAATTAAATTAACGAACATGAGCAGAGGGCTCATTCGTTCATTTACGTTTGTGAACTTTCGGTAATATGTTCGTTCGTTTATGTGTGTTCATTTATGTTCAACCCAATCTATCTAGACCCATTTAAAATATTAAAGCTTAATAAATTTTAATCTGATACCATAAATACTTTAAAATTCAATTAATTTAAATACAAATAAAATAAATCTCAAAACATTTAAATAAAATATAATCCTAAAATTGTTAGGAAAGAAAAAATCTATTTTCATTTATTTTAGTTTACGTTCATTTATTGTGTACATTTACGTTAGTTCATTTGTGTTTATTTACGTTCGTTTATTGTGTTTGTTTACATCCGTTCATTTATGTTCGTTCATCATTTAAATGAACGAACATAAACGAACACGAACAAGCTACATTCAATCACGAACAAGAAATTTTGCGTTCGTTTATGTTCGTGTTCGTTCATTTGTTCGGTTAAAGTTAAACGAACGAACATAAACATACCTCCGTTTGTGTTCGTTCGGTTAGTTTACAGGCCTAAGCCACTTCCGTTTAATGTTAACTGCAAGTGGTTTAATTGAATGCATTTAAATAACTGAATGATCAGATTGACAAAATTCATAAGCGGTAATCAAAATGAAAAGATACTTAAATTAGGTGATCACTGATATAGTTTATTTTTTTAAAAATAAAATAAAATTCCCTATATATAATTGATCTAAAATTTGAGATTTAAGTGATATATCTTTTTCGATGCTCTCTAAACGAATCTCCTACAAGCTTTAAAGGATGATATGGCTACCGAAATCCGATACAACTTACAGATAAATCTATAATTATCCTCTAAAAGATATGTATTTTTAAAAATATTTTAAAATAATATAAAAGTAATATATATCTAAAAATATTCATAAAATAATATAGATATTTGTAATATTCGATATTATGTCTAAAACTATCTAAATTATTTGAAGACTAATTGTTAATATATTGACCTATATCATAATTGACACTAAAATATATAAATAAGGATAATATTTACCATTATAACCAGTGTAGTAAAAAAAGAGAGTGGAAAGAGTACAAAAGGTACGAGTTTAGAGGAAAAAAGTTTAGAGGTAAAGAAGAGAAAATAGTGAGGTAAGTTGGAAACATTGTAATTGTATTGTGTGGTAACAAAAGTATTAACTTCTTTTATAATTATAAGTTTCCCGGTTAATGTACTTGTGTTAGTTTTAATATATTTTACTTTTTATTCTAAATAGACTTTTTTTTACTCTAAAATTCAGAAAAAAAATAGTTTCTCGTCCGTTTAAGGTAAGAATATTAAAGTTAAAATATTCTAAAGAAAACGAAAACAAAAATAAATATTTAATGAAACGTTATAAATACTTCTTAATATTATATCTTGTAATTAATATTTCAAAGTTTATTAGTATATATATCAAAGAAAGTAATCATAGAACGATTTGTTATTAGATTGATTTATAGCTGACCCTTATTCCCATATGTAATGGGGTAAGGGGGAGGTAGGATAGTAGGCTGCCCCTAACGCCAGGTTGAGAGCAGCTTCCGTAAGAGACCTCCGAATTATGAAATGCCCTCTGTGGGACTCGAGATCCCACGACCCCAAGGTTAAGAGTCTTGTGCTCTACCAACTGAGCTGGATGGTCATTTCTATTAGATTGATTTATACATAACTTTTATCACATAAAAAATGTGTTATTTTATTTCAATAGGCTGAATGTGTATATATTTTAAAATATTAAATTTGCCGGATAAAAAAACATAGCATAACACGAGACCATCGAGGAGGATGCATGCATTCCATGTGGAAAAGGCACTAATTAAAGTAAGACGAAATTGCCAACCCACTTTAGGGGTGACAATGGGACGGGCCGGGATGATTTTGTATTATTCAATCCGTCCTCAATTCTTATAGATATAATTTTGGGGAATCTCTATTATATGTTTTCGGGATTTTTTTATCCTTATACTCATATTTTACGAATCCCTACGAGTTCGATTAATTCACATCCCAAAAAACAAACATTTTTAAAATCAATGCAACACCTAAAATTTATAAGATATATAAAATTGTCTCAAATTGGTCTACCTATAATATGAAAGTTTCAAACATCAATATTTATCTAACTCCCAATGTATATGTACAATCTTAATCGTTTTCAATCTCAACAAATCAATGTATATTAAATGAGAAAATATATAAACTTTAATTTTAGTTCATTTAAGATGTAACAGTGACAATACATAATCTCACAATCTTATCGTATATAATTTTTTATTCGAATATATATTAAGGGTATATAGATAGGTAAATGATTATAAATATATTTTTAAATTTTTGTAAAATATCAGGGATTCCTACGGATATTTTTTGAGGATCCCTACGGTTATTCACAAGGGTACGGTTCAGTTATCCCCACGGATAGTTTGTATCTATAAGCAAGTAAATTTGGTTGATTAATCAAATTGTTCATATCTGATCCTTATATTCATGTAGGTCAAGAGTTCTAAATCCATTAGAAACATTCCTCTTTTTTCTACTAAAATCTCCATTTTCCTTCCCTCTAAATGTAATTAGATTTAGAATTTGTAAAAAATAAATAGTTTATACCTAAATTTAAATGTAATTATAATTGAAGTAGGCAAGGGAGTGAGCGATGCCCTTAGCTCTCTAAATTTTTGTTCAATGATAATTTTGGTTTTTATTAGTTTAAAAGTTTATAAAATTAAGTTTTTTGCACATGTCCTTAAAGTATGACCTTTATTTTAAATTAGTTTCTAAACTTTTAAATGTTCCAATTTCATCCCTAAACTACGACTATCATTCTAAACTAGTCCTCAAGCTTTTGAATGTTTCAATTTCATCCCCAAATTATGACCTTCATTCTAAATTAGTCCCAACACATTTTGAGCATTCCAGTTTCATCTCAAACTATACGTATACTAATCACACCCCTTGTTTATAAAATCGTTAAGCTAAGTTATATTATTATATGTTTAAACAAATTAGGTTAAATTATGGTTGAAACTAATTACATATTTAAATGAATTTGGGGATAAAATTGGAATATTCAAAAGTTTGGGATCAATTTAGAAAAGGGGGTCATAGTTTAGGGATAAATTAGAATTTTTAAAAGTTTTAGGACTGATTTAGAATGTGAGTTATAGTTTGGGAATAAAATTGGAATATTCAAAAGTTTAAGGACTAATTTAAAATAAGGGTTATAGTTTAGGGGCATGTGATACAATTACCTTTAAAATTTAAAATTAAAAAATGAATTACTTTTATTATCTAATTTTAATTTTGTCCCTAATCTCAATAAGGGAAATTATAGTGAAAAATAAAATAGTCACGATCAAGATTGGATTAAAATGTGTGTATAATAGAATTTTAAAATAAGAAAGAAATAAATGATGTATTAGGGTTTTTCTCTCTACCCAGTATTAGGGTTTTATCCGTTGTTTTGAATTTTTTTTCCTTTTGATCGTTGAGATCTGGGTTGTTTTCTTATGAGTTTTACTTTGTCGTGTTCTTCTTTGGTGATTATCCAATGAGTGAGATTGAATCAGAGTTGGTGGATTGTCGTTGGAGGAAGAGGAAGCTTTAGTTTTTGACAATGATACAACTACCCTCTGATTTCGTTTGAGAATTGTTTGGTAGGTCGTTTCTTAGCGACATGGAATATCAATTTTTCAGCCATGAAAACGATGCTAGCGAATGTTTGGCATCCGATTGGGGTATCTCTATAACTGAACTAGAAGAGGGTCGATATCTTTTCCGGCTTTATCGTGAAATGGACTTGGAAAGAATATGGAGTGGTAGTCCCTGGTATTTTAATTCGAATTCTTATTGCTCCATCGAATGGTGAAAGACGATGATCCACAGAAAGTGCCA